AAGGATTTGTAAGAAATGTTTGAGGAAACTTACTGAGTGTTATAAAGGATGGTTTACACTATCAAAGTTTCTGTGATCACAGTAGGAATTTTGCAAAGGTAAATTCTAACTTTTGAAGGATTTGTAAGAAATGTTTGAGGGAACTTACTGAGTGTTATAAAGGATGGTTTACACTATCAAAGTTTCTGTGATCACAGTAGGAATTTTGCATAGGAAAATTCTAAGTTTTGAAGGATTTGTAAGAAATGTTTGAGAAAACTGACTGAGTGTTATAAAGGATGGTTTACACTATCAAAGTTTCTGTGATCACAGTAGGAATTTAGCATGGGTAAATTCTAAGTTTTGAAGGATTTGTAAGAAATGTTTGAGGAAACTTACTGAGTGTTATAAAGGATGGTTTACACTATCAAAGTTTCTGTGATCACAGTAGGAATTTTGCAAAGGTAAATTCTAAGTTTTGAAGGATTTGTAAGAAATGTTTGAGGAAACTTAATGAGTGTTATAAAGGCTGTCTTACTCTATCAAAGTTTCTGTGATCACAGTAGGAATTTTGCATGGGTAAATTCTAAGTTTTGAAGGATTTGTAAGAAATATTTGAGGGAACTTAATGAGTGTTATAAAGTCTGCCTTACACTATCAAAGTTTCTGTGATCACAGTAGGAATTTTGCATAGGTAAATTCTAAGTTTTGAAGGAATTGTAAGAAATGTTTGAGGGAACTTACTGAGTGTTATAAAGGATGGTTTACACTATCAAAGTTTCTGTGATCACAGTAGGAATTTTGCATGGGTAAATTCTAAGTTTTGAAGGATTTGTAAGAAATGTTTGAGGGAACTTACTGGGTGTTATAAAGGATGGTTTACACTATCAAAGTTTCTGTGATCACAGTAGGAATTTTGCAAAGGTAAATTCTAAGTTTTGAAGGATTTGTAAGAAATGTTTGAGGAAACTTACTGAGTGTTATAAAGGATGGTTTACACTATCAAAGTTTCTGTGCTCACAGAGGAATTTTGCAAAGGTAAATTCTAAGTTTTGAAGGATTTGTAAGAAATGTTTGAGGAAACTTACTGAGTGTTATAAAGGATGGTTTACACTATCAAAGTTTCTGTGATCACAGTAGGAATTTTGCAAAGGTAAATTCTAAGTTTTGAAGGTTTTGTAAGAAATGTTTGAGGAAACTTACTGAGTGTTATAAAGGATGGTTTACACTATCAAAGTTTCTGTGATCACAGTAGGAATTTTGCAAAGGTAAATTCTAAGTTTTGAAGGATTTGTAAGAAATGTTTGAGGGAGCTGACTTACTGTTTAATACTGTTCCCTCAAACATTTCTTAAAAATCCGTCAAAACTTTACCCATGCAAAAACTTTACCCATGCAAAAACTTTACCCATGCAAAATTCCCACTGTGATCACAGAAACTTTGATAGTGTAAACCAACTTTTAGGATTGCGTTTAGGATTAGTTATAAGGATTAGTTGTTTGGATTAGTTATTAGTTGGGTTTAGGTTTAAACTAGTTAGAATTAGATTGTTGTAAGATGGGAGAACATGATATTAGCATCTCGCGGATATATAATTCATAGTCATAATAATGTATTACCAAACACTATGCATGTATTTATGCAATCTTGTTTTTACAGCTGCAAACTGGTTGACTGAAATGCTGAACCCAATGAATATATTCTCGTCTCGAAAAGGAAAAGCTGCTGAATGCTTCAATTTCTGTCGTGGGCTGAACTTTAAGTCAAAAAAAGGTAGAAATATTTCACCAGCGTCTAACTTTATCCACTGAATAGCCTATACAAACTTTTAAAATGCGACTAACCACAAATATTATTTTTGGTATGGGTAATATTTGGGTCATTCGAAGAAGAAATGTAATCCCCGAGCCGGCGGCGCGAAGCGCCGTGCGAGGGTACTAATTCCCCCCGGCTATTTACACCCGGGGAAACGAAAGCATTAGCGGAGTCTAAAGTTCATCAAATATCGCGGGCGTGGGTCACCAACGATGGGTGGTCATCCCAGTGAACTCTAATAATAACTGGAAGGCTAACTCCTATGATGAAAGTCTATGATTCGTTGAAGCCGGCGCGCGGGAAAATCAGCTTTCAAAAAGACTAAGGAGAGTTTCGAGGAGTGAAAAAAATTCTGCCAAAAGTTTGTTTTCGAGCAAAAATTTGCAAGAAAAACACTTTTCCCATGGGAATACAACAATGATTGGGATTTAAACCAGGTTTTCCGATTAGTTCCAACTGTTTTACATCTCTCTGCAGCAAAAAGTAAGCAGTTTTGCTTTTGTATTTTGAAAAAATGACGAAAGTTTGGACGTGCCGAAGGAAATCTCGCCGTTCAACTCAAAAATATATACTATAAAACATTTTGACAGTCCCAAAACTTATGTTGTACTAAACCCCAGGTATTGTTATTGATCCTGAGCTTTTAGTCCTTGTTTTAGTCGCTCTTAAACATAAATAAATTGGCGTTTTTCAAGTGATGTTATTAGTCGTCATCGGCATCTTGTTGGCCACTATGAGCACTTTGAATATGGCAATATTTTTGTCAATTTTCAAATGCTTTTTTTTCGACCTTAAAACGTTAAATCTTCTTGAAACTTCGCATACAGATGTATTTTGCATGGGTATAAAAAATTCCTGAGGTGTGACATCTTAGTTTTATCTTAAACTTCCAAAAACTCAGAAAAAGCAGCCTAAAACGCGCGGTTTTTCAGACCGTTCATGCTTATGGTCGTGTTTTTCCCATTTTTTTTGCTAATTCGTGATTTGTTTGCTTTGCGAATATTAAATTCATTTATCATACTACTGATATAAATTAAATTTGGTAGTATAACTAATATTTTGGGGCAAGATTTTTCTGATCAAAAAATGTGCATATTTTGAAAAAAAAATTTAAAAAGGACTGGGTCTACCTACAAAAAAAGCTTCAAGCACGGCTTCAACTTCCCCCCCTGACTTAGCCTTCCAGTTATTATTAGAGTTCACTGGGTCATCCTCACTGACCTCAAAAATATGGCGGACTGTCATGAATAGCGGACACTGATTGGTCCAATTTAAAGTTTGCATAAACGACTGCATCACGTCAGCGAAATAGCAAACATTTCTTGATTTGACGATTCACGATTGATAAATTTCTTGCGAATATATTTCATTTTTACTCGCATTTTTGCAATATTTTGTAAATTTCAAAAGCACTCGGAGAAAGAAACTGCGAAAGAATCGGCTAAAAGAAGGGAGCCGACGTTAACGAAGGTAAGTTTGTTTTAAATATTGATTTTATAATGGCTTTAAAACCCGACGGCCTTTGCCGCTTTGCGTATATGAAACAACTAAACAAGACAGAATATAATTTCAGTGTATCTTTAATATTGATTCCCTTTTGTATTATATTGAATTTTTTAAATGAAAAAGAAAGCAAAGTTATTTGCAAGCGAGAATTTGAAATCATTTTATTGCAAACTCAAAGTTTATCGATAAACCATTTTAATAATTAAAGGTAGTTAAGTTAAAGAGCACTTTAAAACGTTTTGCGAAGCGTTTGTGGTTGAATTTTACCTTAAAATTGAGGCTTATATTACGTATAATAACATACCTGAGATATATATGTTGGGAAATTAATGATTTTGTAATTAAAAGTGATATTTTTAGGCGATTTTTCATTTGTAAGAATATTCTTAAAAAATTATCGTGTTACCATGACAACTATTTTAGAACTTCATGTTCGGAACGTACAATGGTTTTGTCAGCAAGGCGAGGGTTTCTGCATGCATGTATTTTCTAGTATATCTTTATAATAAAAAATCCCATCTTGATCAACTTTTTCACTGTCAAAGTTTCCAGATATGATGTCATTAGGTGAATTGCAAATTAGTTTTCCTTTGTATTTTGTACCAAAAATTCACCTAATGACATCATGTCCGTAAACTTTGACAGTGAAAAAGTTGATCAAGATGAGGTTTCGCACTATAAAGATATATTACATTTCTTCTTAGAATGACCCAAATATTACACATACCAAAAATTATATTTGGGGTTAGTCGCACTTTAACAAATCTAATTCAATAGACCAATTGGCTAACGTTTGTTTATACCCACTGTCACGACCCTAGATAACTCACATGCTCAGTTACTATTCTGCTAGTTTACCGAGGCATAGAATAGAATAGAACAAAGGTAACTAAGCTTTAGAATTATCTACATTAGTGAATAACTCTCATACATAATTCTAATGCTCAGGGACGCCGGAACGAGGGGGGGGGGGTCAGGAGGGGCAGCTGCCCCTCTTGCCCTTTACCAGGAGGGGCAAGGGGGGCGAAGGTGGCCTTTTGATTAAAGGAAAATATTTGTTATTAATAGAAAGAATTCGTTCTTGTTATTATAGAACTATATAAACTATATGATATAAACAAACTTTTGCTGGAAAACTACTGTCGCGTACGACAACATTCATTTGGGGCATTTTTGGCTGAATTCTTTTGTGCCAGAAATGCAGTCATTGAGCTTCAAAAATATCAAAATCCTCCGGGGGAGAACCGCAGACCTTCCTATTTCTTTACAAATCAGAAACGTGATTTTTGCAGCGTTAAACTCCAGATGTTTCGTAAACGTCCTTTAATATATATCAATAGACCTTTCCCCTTTTAAGTGAAATTTTGATCTAGACTAGCCTGGACAAAAATTTCACCACAGCTTGAAAGAGCATCACAAAATTAGTAATATTCCGAAGTTTCGTTGCGAAATATTGTAAAATGCGGATAATATAGCCTTGCGAAGTTTGCCGTTTTTCAGTCATTTTGTATTACAAATGGGAAATTGATAATCAGTTTGATCATCTGATTATCAATTTCCCGTTTGTAATCTAAAATGACTGAAAAACGGCAAACTTCGCAAGGCTATATTATCCGCATTTTACAACATTTCGCAATGAAACTTCGGAATATTACTAATTTTGTGATGCTCTTTCAAGCTGTGATGAAATTTTTGTCCAGACTTGTCTAGATCAAAATTTTACTTAAAAGGGGAAAGGTCTATTCAAAAGTGTCTCTCGTCGTTCCGGCGTCTCTGCTAATGCTTAGTTACCTTTGTTCTATTCTATGTTTCTGTAAACTGGAACAATAGAAACGAAGCACTGCGAGCAGGAAATGTTAAACAGCTGCAGGGAATTCTTTGATTTGATTCAAGAATCAAAGAATTCAAGAATCTTGAGATTCAGGAATTCAAGATTTGCTATTGAAAATTTGAAAGAAACCTTACCGTAACACCCAGGTTTCACTATGGGCGCAACAACATATGGTTAACAGACATTATTCCTTGAATTTAAAACCATGGTCAGCTATGACCATGCAGATTTAGCACAAAAATACTCCGTTGGTCTGCAGGAAATTTTTGTCTCCAGGTTGTGTTCCCAGGAAGAAAATTTTTTTTGCCCTGCATGTGAATTATCTAAAGTTGTGAATAGGGTAACAAGGATGGGAACGACGACAACGTTAGCCAAATATGTCTTTGCGCATTATACGAAGAACGTTATTGGAGAACGGGGACACGTATTAGAGCACCGGGCATATTTGAGGGGGTGGGGGGCTTAATGGTGGAATAAAGGCACTCAGAAATTCAATTTTTTTCAGACGACGAACACGACCATGCTACTGGCAAAGACAAGACGATATGTGTTGTGGACAGCGGTATTGCGTTCAACTCTCCATTCCCTGCCATATTGAGACCTGAAAGAAAAGTTGAACTCATTCTGTCGTTTGATTTCAGTCAGAGAGATGGTGGCGATAAGGAATTGCCTTTTAAAGTGAGTCGAACTTTCCTTCTTGAGCTAACGCACAAGTTTGTTACAAGTCTGTTCACAAGCTGTTAACAAGATGTATTCGCACTGCTTGTCACAAGTTGTCAACAGGTTTGGAATAACTTGTTGACAACTTGTAACAACCTTGTCGAAATTATCAGACTTGTTGCAAGGTTGTCTGACAAGTCTGTGACATGCTTGATATAACAAGATTGTTACAACCTTGTGTTGACAACCTTGTAACATCCTTGTTATATCATGGCTGTAACAAATTTGTTAGCACAATCTTGTAACAAGGCTGATAATGCCATCAAGCTTGTTACAAGTTGTTAACAGCTTGTTTCAGACTTGTTACAACAAACTGGGAACAAGCAGTGCGAACACAACTTGTTGACAGCTTGTGAACAGATTTGTAACAACTTGTTTGCAGACTTGTTACAACTTGTGCGTTTTACGTGTGTAGCTCTCAACAAGTTGTGTTCGCACTTCTTGTTCCCAGTTGTTGTAACAAGCTTGGAACAAGCTGTTAACAACTTGTAACAAGCTTGATGGCATTATCAGACTTGTAGCAAAGATACAGTCATGATATAACAAGAATGTTACAACTATATCATCATGATATAACGGGAGTTGCACGAGAGTTGATAAAGACTTGACTGGATATTACCACGTGCGTAGCGAAAACTCTCATCAAAATTTGAACCAGTTAAAAGTTGATGAGAGTTGATGAGAAAGCATCCGGCTGATTCATGCATTTAGTGTTCAGAGTACTCCAGATTTTCGGAACACTGATAGAATCGAACCGAACACGGTCACATGACACATGATTGTTCTGTCTGCCTCTACTCAAAAGTACAGGGGCAGTCAGAACAATCATATGACCGTTTTCGGGTCGATTCTATTAGTGTTTCGAATATCTGAAGTACTCCGAACAGTAAATGGAGCAGCCTGCATGAGAGTTGATGAGAGTTGGCTCTCAAACGAGAAACTCTCATCAAGTTTCGCCAACTCTCGCTTGACCAGAGCCCAACATAATTACTTTATTATTTTGTTATTCGTAGGAACTTTTGAAAGCTGAGCAGTGGGCAAAGGATCGCGGTCATCCATTCCCACAAATCAAAGGGAACCCAGTAACTGAAGATCCCAACATTCGTGAATGTTATGTATTTGAGAACAAAGATGACGCAATGTGTCCGATGATTGTACATTTCCCAATTGTTAACAAAACTTTCAGAGAATATCTTAAGCCAGGTTAGTGAAACCATATGCTATCTTATGTTATTTCGCAACTGCTCTAATCTACCCTATATCTCGTGGTGTTCACTGCTGCAGCAAATTCCAGGCAAATTATGTATGCAAAAGAACTAAATATTGAAAACGTTGTAGCTCGCAACCTAACATGAAACAGGGTTCGTAGCGGTCTTTAAAATCCTTGAAAGTCTTTAAATTTGAATGCAGGTCTTTAAGGTCTTTGCAAAGTCTTTGCATTGTGTGAAAAAGCGAAGAAAGTCTTTAAAAGTCTTTAAATTCTTTAGTGAGTATTTGATTATACGATTTCCTAGCTAATAAAAATATAAAATAGATTGATTGAAGCAAAATTTTCGCAAATATCGACGAAAACGCGCATTTTAGGATGTGATTTGACGGTACTAATAATTGGGTAAAAATGGTGCTTACACTCGCAATTTTTCGACAGCTGATTGCCCTCAAAGGTCTTTGAAAAGTCTTTGAAAATAGGCAGAAAAAATCTTTGAAAGTCTTTGAATTGTTTTGGTCTTGGAGACTACGAACCCTGTGAAATTTTCGGGCAAAATTACTCAAACATGATTGGCTAATGATGAGGGCATTTTTTCTTGATTCAAGTCAAAATTATTTATACCTGATTGGCTGAGACGCAAGCGCGGGAAGTTTCTTGTTTTAAATAGCAATAAAAACAATGGCTTCTCGCTTTGTCGTTGCGGATAATGTTGTTATTGAAGACTAATGAAAACTCAAACACCAGAAAAAGTACAAATTATTTAACTAGAAATTGTCAGCATTAAGGAACATCGGCGAAGACATGGAAACATACGTGGTTCAAGAGTTTGACAAGTTCACAATTTACTTACGAATAAATTTTGCCCTCTATGATTAACAAGTAATCGCATAGTTCCGCGTAAAATTAAGGTTTAATTTCACTTGTGTTTTGAAAGTTTCACAAATTGCCCTCGTTAGAAAATCATGCAATCTTTCTGCATCATGACATCAGAATTATTCCACATGCTATCTTGTCCCAGCAAAATGTTGGCCCAGCAAAGCGGAACAAACAGGGTTCTATGAATGTGATGCATTTTATTTTCTAGGTGTTCCTCGTAAGACACAATCGGAAAAAGACTTCGCCAACTTTGATATTTTTGATGACCCTGCACAACCCTATTCATCCTTCACATTTCAGTACAAACCTGAAACGTTTGAACGAATGCATGAATTGATGAAATTCAACACGCTACTTAATATGGATCTGATCAAAGAAAAGATTGGCTACTATGTTGGATACAGGCGAAATAACCTTAACCAATAAAGATAGAGGAACTTTTTCGTACTCATTTTGTTGTGATGTTCGATGTTTATAGATGGTCTGGTAGAAAACTAATTTGGAATCTCGACTGCGTGATGATTGATGTGATATTTTGTTTATACTTCAAAGATATTATCAGACAGACTTATGATACTTTCGAAATGGAAAAAATGATTCAAATAACATAGGTATTGTTAGTAAGCTGTAACCTTGCCGAGTTGCTGTTAAAGCCTGTCGCACACGAGAGCAACTTGCTGAGCTAACCGCCTCGCGAGGCAGCTAGCTCAGCTATGTATTTTCACCGCACACGTTGGGAATACTACTCAACAACAACATAAATGACAAAATCATTTGCATTTCCCTCCATTTTGTTCCAGGTCACATGAAGAAACCATGGTTTGTCATTGGCTAATTGATTCAAACAGCTCAGCACTTAGCTCACAATATATCCGCAGACGCTGAGATTTTTTCCTCGCGAGGCGAAAAATATCAAACACGATAGATATTTTCCTCAAGGCCTCGAGAGGTCAAATCCTCGCCTCGCGAGGCGGTTAGCTCAGCAAGTTGCTCTCGTGTGCGGCGGGTTTTAACAGTTGTATACTAATTGTTAGTTCAATCTTTACTTAATTAATACTGAAAGTAACTTCCGTGTAATTTTGTGTGTGTGCTAGATACATTAAACTGGCCTTGAAAATAACTGGGTATTTCCTTGATTGACTATTCTTTCTGGACTTTCGAAAGCTGATTTTAGACTATCCGTAATCCATATAATCAATCCGCCGATCCGTAAAATGATCGATCTGATATCCGCAAGTAGATAGACGGCCGTACATTAGAAAAGTTTCTACTGCCTTCCCCCGGGTATGTAGTCGTATGCTTTTAAATTCGGGGGGGGGGGAGCAATTTCTTTGCACCGGCGGGAAAATTTTTAAAAATTCTACAAACAAGATGGCTGTCTGATGGAGTTTTAACATTTGAACCACTGATACTTTCAAATTTTGCTGGCTACTAAAAGGCTTATTGGGTAAAATTGAGCTTGAAACACAGCTAGACAACCGAGCTAAATGGCCAAGTATAGAATGAATGGAAAAACAGAAGTTTCTCTTGCTGAAAAAATACGTTTTTGGTCGTATCGCGTAATCCCAGGAATGGTTGTCGGAGACACGTGTAATCATTATGGTATGTTGTAATTCAGAAATAGGCGAAAGGACTGCTACATGCGTCGTTAGGTATTTTGTATGGTGTTACGTTTATGTAGGCATTATTAAATTAAGAAGACCCATGGGCCACGACTTTCAGTAAAGCGTATATAGTGGAGGGGTTACCTGAGGGCCTCCCAATGCTCCCATTTTGCGAAATGGCTAGTTCTGAATGTAAAATGGGTAATTCTAAAACTTGAAATGGGCAGTTCCAAAATTGAGTTATCCAACTTTATATGAAAATTAGTTATAAATGAAGTTCCCATACAGGCATTTAAGTCAAAAACAAAACAAAATGTCACTCTGAAAATGCAAGAAATGGCCATTCTGAACTTTAAAATTCACAATTCTCTGGGGGAGCATGCCCCAGGTCCCTCCTACTGCCACAAGTTAGCCTGTGTTCACTACCTCACAGTCTATTGTCGAAATGAGCAGTTCTACACTTTTCTTAGGAGATTGCGAAATCATCAATTTTATTTCATTTATACAACACAAAGAAGTTGAAATTTTGTGTTATTTATTCGCGCCATGTTGTCGAATCGCGTCCGGTGTGTCTGGACCTTAATACGACATTGGAGTGACATTGATTCATACGCCGCCGCTCCACTCAGGGGGGGTGGCCCCCACTTTTTTAGTTGGGGGGCCTAAATGTCTTTGGACCCCTCCACTTTTTAACAATGGTCAATAATAAACCACAAAGTTAATTGATATTATTTAAGTTATTCATGTAGACAAAACAATTTGAGATATTTTATGACATTTACCTTTAGAACTCTGTAAATCTCCTTCTAAAGTGCAGGAAATGGCATTTCAGAGACTCTAGTTTCAAAATTTTTCCAGAGGGCATGCTCCCGGACCCCCTTGAATGTCACCCGCCTTCGCTAGGCGCTAAGTGTGCCCCCATTTTTTAATATAAATCAGCAACAAATGTTTTTATGAACGGTCTGAAAATTCGTAGAATGCAAACGGCAGAGAAAACATTGTAACAAAGGAATTTATGGGAATAATTCGTTAATTCATGATTATTTGTACTAGTGATTGGGGTTGCTCTAAACGTCGAAGTTTAACTTGTATTTTACAGGTAGTTGAATCCCTAGATATCCGAAGTTTCTGGCCTAATAGAGACCTTAAAATGTAGGACGGCAAAGCGACAACGACGGCCAAAACAAATTCATTCAAATTTTCCAGGGTTAGAACTGCACATATTAGGGATGTTACGAAGCATCACATGTTTGACTGGGGGGTCAAAGGATGTTTGACTGGGGGTCAAAGGATTTTTATCTATATTTAACGTTGTAAATTTATAGTTAACGTTGTAAATTATGATAGACTCTTAATTTGTATATAGGTGGCAGAATAAAGGTGTGGTTGGGCCAGACAAACTCTATTCTGGATGGGGGCTACAGGTAGGGGGTGTCCCCCAAAATTTTGAATTTAGAGGCTCGTAAGTTCTGGCAAAGATTTGTTTCACCCAACCACCCACAAAAACTGTTTCAAAACATGTAACTGGGAATCATGAATACTCAATATATAATAATAACTTAGGCAGCAAGTAAGAGTTATAAACCGAGTAGGAGGTTTATCGATATTATTGATATTGCGGAGGTTTTCCAACATATTTTGTCATTTTCAAAAATTTTTAATGAAAAATTCTCACGTTTTGTCTACAAGTTTCATCTAATCATTTATTCAAGGTCTATAAGCTAGTTATAAACCTCGGACGAACAAAGAAAACCGACGCAAGTGTGATATAAATAATATTAGGTTCTCCCACTGTAATCTCTCTTGGATAGCTTCGCTCAATTTTACCTCCTGTTCCATTACCCCCAGCTCCAGTACCCCCAGCACGTGATTGTGCAAATGTGATTTGCGAGGAAAATATGAGGGTCTGGTGGTCCTCTCCCAGAAAACATTTAGATTTTTGATGCTCAATGACAGCATTTCAGGCATTTGGAGCATCCACAAGGAGAATGAGTAAACGAGAAGACTGTTTTGAGGTTATATTTTTGTTAATTTGGTGGCTGCACATTTGAGTTTTAAGAACTGTACAAATTGGTTTAGAACTGCACATTTTGTGTAGAACTGCACGTTAAAATAAACCCTGCGCTGATTCAAATAATTGATTGTAAAGAAAGCTTATCGTATGATGTCAATCGTATGAATTTACATGTAACACAACTTGAAGAGGTCAAAACAGAGGCTTTCTATTGAGCAGAATTTCACATTAGTACTGAACCAATTTGCTGAGTATCTACTTCTTACGTACTAAAATGCAAACGTTGTACACAAGACGTAAAAGTTCTGGTTTACCCGTTGTAAACAGATCGTGGACGACGTCTAAATCTTCCCTGGGATTTTAATTATTTATTTATTTTCTTAAATACAAACGTTACTGTGACGTCAACGCGGAATAATAAACCTGAATTATTGAATGAG